GATTCATGTAGAGAATTATTTAAGAAATTAAAAATTCTACCTCTTCAATCGCAATACATATTATCGCTTCTCTTATTTGTTGTTTACAACAAAGATAAATTCAAATTAAATTCTGATGTCTATAACATGAATACTAGACAAAAATATAACTTCCACCTACCCTCATCAACTTTATCAGTATATCAAAAAGGAGTCTACTTTACTGGCATAATAGTGTTCAACAATCTGCCACAAAGTATTAAAAACTTGGGCAATGATACTAAAAAGTTTAAATCAGAGTTAAAAAATTATCTACATGCTCATTCCTTCTACTCTTTAGATGAATACTTTAATGTAAATAGAGAATGATGTAAAATTAAGTTATATTAATTTTTAAGCTAAAATTGCCTGTACTTATGTATGTAACTTTTTGACTTGTTCTGTATCCAAAGGTACTAACCTACTTAGGATTTATAGAATGTAAATAAATTCAATTCAATTCAATTCAATCAAGTGCAGTGATCAAATAGCACTACCTGATATATCACAGGGTGGCTCTGAATGACTACACTTTAAGTAAACACCAGAGAGCATGTCATACACTGAGCATTCAACCATGCAGAAGAACTATCCTGGGCATTCGGGCAATTTTTGTTTTTTTGTTAACACTGCATGGCGGAAAGAGAGGGCAGCAACTTTCCGATGAGGATGTAACAACCTACATCATGGTTTTCAATTGATGGCAGTTGCGAGTGATTCAAGGGGAATGATCTGAACCTGTTTTGAAGAGGCAGCTGACTGGCCAAAGTTGGCAACACTCCTGCTTCATATTTTTGAGGTCCTGTGCTCAAATCTTGGCTCAAGAGACCTGCTATCCTCAGGTGTCCACAATTTTCCAAAGTCCAATCTCACAAACACTAAGATATCAACTCAAATTAGGGCATGACCACTTCCTTACATATCACATCAAATCCATTATTCACTACATATCATTCCAGCATTTGACGCTACAGCAGGCATGTCAAACTCAACTTGTACAGAGGGCCACCTCAGCCCTATAAATAATAGTCCAGGGCCGCACTTCAAAATAGAAATATACATTAGATTTTGACACAAGGAAATTTAATTATATTATTTAGGAATAATTTCAATATAATTACCTAAAGTCACATATCTTACAGTTCTATAAAGCAAGAGAATGCCATTTTTGACAAGTATCAAACAGCTTTTTGATATGTAAAAAGAGAGATTACACAAGAAATTATGTTAGAAATAGCAAAACATTGAATTTCCTGCAGCCTGCTAATTTATGTCTGTGTGAGTCTTCTTGTCTACTGGTCTGTTGGAAAACTGTCTTTACAAAAAATATTTCTACTAAAATTTTAATATTGATTTTAATATCAATTAGCTCTAAAAGTTGAGGGGCTGCACTTTGTGGCTATGGGGGGCGCATGTTTAACACGGCTGGCTACGCTGTCTAAGCTACTAGCAGCACTGTTACATAAACCATACATAAGAGGGGCATGGGGAAACGCATGAAAAAGAACCTCAGAACAATCTGTATTCTGGGATATGATGCCAAACAGTCTAACAGATCATCACCTATGTTTTGAAGGAACTTACAGCTGTCATCAGCATACCTATTATTTTGCCTGAAGACTGAGACAGCAGATTCCTCTAAAATAAAAGTAATGATAAACCAGATTTCATAGAATCACATCGCAGTCACTGCTGTGAGAAATCTCCTATCTCTTAGCTGCNATTAACACTTTGCGGACTGAACGCCTAGGCCTAGGCGTTTGGGTTTTAAATGTGGCAGACCGGTCGCCTAGATTTTGGCTTTTGGACACGTTATGTTACAACACACTATTCCTCGCTTTGGTGGCCACGTGTCTGTAAAAGTACTGCGTAGCTGACCTTCGGAATGTTTGTTTCCCGAGTCAGCAACATCACCACTCTCTATTCCCCTCTCACTCTAAAGAAAAGTCCCTTTGTTCAAGTCGAAGCTTCTATGTGTGAGGCAAGATATTCTCAGTGTCAACATGGCTCAGAGACGAAAGCAGTTGAAGGCCGCGCGAGCTCTCGGAGAAGAAGAAATCTGTGATTTGATCTATGATGAGTTATCTGACTTGCCAACTGCTTCGTCTTATGATAGCGAGGGCAGTGTCAGTGGCAGTGACAGGGGCCCCCAAAAATATTGTGACCAGAAGAGAAAGTGAAAGTGACAGTGAGAGCTCTGATGAAAGTGCCAGTGCTAGCATTGTGGGGACAGCCACATGGGATAAAGTGGACAAAACACCCACTTTGGGAAAGTTTACTGGTGATCCAGGGGTGAGACAAATGCCATCAGACCCTACGCAAGTGTCTGAAGTAGCTGAACTGTTTTTTGGATTCCTTGGAGGGGAAGGCTTCGCTTTCGAACATATAATTCTGGGAAACTCACAAAGTATGGCCTACTTGTTCGTGTAGTCACAGAAAGCACTTCAAGCTATATTGGAAATTTAGAAATTTATTCCGGTGAAGGCAAGAAATTGCAAGAAACTATTGTTTCCATTTTGGATCCCTATCTGGATCAAAATTATCATGTTTATCAAGATAATTTTTATAACAGTGTGGCAACTGCAGAATACCTACTTTCAAGGAAAGTATGTATTTGTGGTACAATTAGGGTGAACAGAGGCCTTCTTCCAGATTTGAAAGAGAAATGTAAATCCCTGAAACGTGGTGACACCACATTCAGGAGGAAGGGGAACATTTTTCTTCAGTCCTGGAGGGATACTCACGTTGTGAATATGATTTCCACTATTCACAATTCGAGCATGGTCGATGTTCAAAGACGACACGGGCAAGTGAAGAAGAAGCCTCTTTGTATTTCTCAGTACAATATGTTCATGAAGGGAGTTGATACAGCCGACCAATACTTGGCCTATTATTCCCTTCCTAGGAAAACAGTAAAATGGACGAAGAAAGTTGCCTTGTGGCTTATAAATTGTGCCCTTTTCAATTCATTTTTGGTTTTCAAAGAGCTAAACGAAAATTCAACTTTGAAATACAAGGCATTTCTCATGAATGTGGCAAAAGTCTGGGCTACAGACCTCACGGTGGCAGCAGAACCTGCGTCAGACACAGACATAGTACAACCAGGACCATCTACTCCCACCCCACGGAGGCCTCATATGGACCCCCTGGGTGACTCTCGGGTGATATGCGGAAACATACTCTCGTGAAAACTGTGATGAGCGAACAATCGATGGGGAAGTATCCTTCTAGGCAGTGCCGTGCGTGCGCTGTGCACAAGAAGTGAAGCAAGACTTCCTACATCTGCAAGTTCTGCAGCATGCCTCTTCACAGAGGGGAATGTTTCCAGAAATATCACACTCTGAAGCACTTCTAGGAGCTCTGGTAAGTCTTCTCTAAAAATTTTAGTTCATAAAATTAATTGGGAGATTTTATATTAATTTTTAAGTGAACAGTGCACAAGTTAGGGTAGTAGGTTTAAAAACGCCGGTCCCCAGGGTGATTTAAATATTTAAATCACCGGTCTGCGAAGTGTTAAGATTCAGTGTGAGTATCTCTCAAATACCAAACAGGAATGGTGTCAGATGAAGTGTGACAAATAACTGCA